TATCAAATGTATCATAGGTTAATCGTGTTTTTGTTTATGTTTTCTTAGTTTTGTTTTCTGTCAAGCCTTTATTAAGCCCTTGACACTTAATAGATTGATCCAGAGACTGGATAGAGCTATATTCAGTTACAGGACCAGCAATAAAAGATATGAAAGCGCATGAAGTGTGTTTATATCAGAAAAGTATAGAAACTGACCATCCTTTTTTTTGGCTTAAATTCGCATTGTCTTTGGTGTGAATGAATAGCATTGTTAATGTTTGCATAGCGTAACCGGGAATGTCARTTATAATATCAGTCGGAATCCTCGTGTAGAAGAATCTGTTTCTTTGTTTGTTTGTGATTTTTCCAACTAAACGCTTGTGCATCACTTTTTTGACCAGGGTGGCTTCTTGCCTCAGTGAGATTGGCATTGCACAAGGGACATTGGTCTTGCCAGGRGCAAAACACTTCAGGCCATCCTCCTAACTTCAAAACGGTTTTATTATCGTTTTCTATGATGTTACTCAATAAAGTGTTAGGAATGAAGTAGGGAATGCTGTTTTGCATGTTTAAATTAATGGTAGAGTCACGGCTTATGTTCACTGTATTTTCAGCAGTTTGAGTGACGGTAGCAGCACTTGAAGATGAATTGTTCCCAGTTCCATCATTTTCAATTGACTGGCCTGTAACACACAGTAAAACATGAACATGAAGACATATTTTTCTSTGTTTGAAATGTTTGGTCTTACTAGAGTGCATCTTGCACTACTGGTAAGAGCAAACAATTTTTCTCTGGTCTTTGTTTGTTGTCGTTTTCACGTGGCAATACCATTGGAATTCGTAGGAGAAGCAAGTTATCAGAGTTATCAGACACTTGTACTCCAGATGGAAGTAAAGAAGTTTGCATTAAATTTGTGAGCRTTTCTTTGGTAAGCTGGTCACACTTGTAAAAAGAAATAAGTTCCTCAGATAGTTGGTAAGTTGCAAGTGGTGAAACAGCTTCTGTTAACTTCGACATGTGGGGGCATTAGAATTCTTGTGGACTTTGGCTGTTCACATGTAGAGATCTATACTGAAGGCATTTGTTTAGGAAGCACTGACAAACGCCGTCTTCCTCTACGACAAAGCACCTGGAATCCTTTGCATGTGTCTTAATGGAGAATATCTTGGTGCAGAGATGGTCAGCGACCAGTACGCAGTCTGGTGCGTTCGGCTTTGCTTTCTTTTGATTCGGCGTGTATGAACCTCCAAGATGGAAGTCGCAGTTCTGGCAATTGAGTGGCTTATAGCGGTTGAAATAGGTGGCTTTGCAATTACTGCAAGATCCTTGCCCACGTTCACTCTAAAAGAAAATAAACCTTGATCTATCTTTCTTATTCAAAATCTAGAATGCCAACTATAAATCCAACAGCATTTGGTGTATTTTTATCAAACTTACCATGTAGTCACGCAGTTAAGAATTTGACGGTCTTCCTTGACGGTTTTCCAAGCGAATAAACACCAAGATACTTATGATAACTAGACGGTCTTCCAAGCGAATAAATATACTAAGATGTTAAGGATAAATTGACGGTCTTCTAAGCGAATAAATACTAATACRCTAATGATAACTTGACGGTAATCCAAACGAAGTGAAGCTGTTATAAGACACTCCGAAATAAATTCAAAAACTAATATAACAAAAACTAAAACACCAATATTGTGATTGATTCTAATGCATCAATCAAATCAGATAATTATTTAACAAGGGATATGATTGGTACGATACCCTCAATACCGCCAATTAGCTGCAAACCAATCATACATGTAGCAAAGGTTACGAGAAGCGTTACACTACTGAAATTAAATACTGTAAAAGAATGGAAAATAAAAGTGGTTCGATCTACACAGTGGTTACGTTCTTCTACTTGATTGGGTTAGAACTTGGTGTTTTTTGTGCAAGGGAGGGAATACTAGTCAAGAGAATCCGAAGAAAAACCTCAAATCATGTAKGAGAGAACCAACAAGCAACTCTACTTGCATACACCTGTACAAGTGTAGAAGTCCAGAAATCAAACCTGGGTCTCCTTTGTGAGAGGCAAAGCATTCTCACCGCTACATCAACCAAGCTTCCCAAAAAAAACCTTTCTATCATTGATGACATTTTTACCATTCAAAACATATATACATACTGTTTCAGCAGCACCAACRATGTTTCTGTGGTGAAATAGGGCAGGAGGAATAGCAAGTGCTTGAATTGAAGTAGGTGTTGTAAATCCATGCTCACTTAATGCCTTCAACACATCATCTGGGACACCAAGACCATTCCAGTCACTCATATCATCCAGCTTCCTTCCTAAATAAAATACCAAGTGGTCATGCACCTTTACATTTAGCAATAGACCTCTTCGGCTCTGACGTAATGTTTTCTCATTTCAGACCACGTGTTATTCCCTGGAGTATCATTTCTTTGTTTACAGTTTACACTCAGTTGCTCATGAGAAGACACATGAATATGGATACAGCTCAAACAAAGAATCTTATTCTCAAGGGAATGACACGTGGTATGAAATGGGAAAACATTACACCAAGCCAAAGAGGTCTATTAGTCCTTGAGCCCAAATGAACTATTGACTCATAGGCCAAACTAGAGGACTTATTTTCTTAGTCAAAACCAACTAGTTCCTTACTACTTCATGTAAGACTGTCAAATATATAGATGTAAACAAAATTTAAATTAAAAAGTTTGAAATTAAAGTTAAATCCATTGTTTTGGCTTTTGAAAGCTGGCACTTTTCGCTGCTAGTAGGTTATAACTTATAGCCTAGTAGTAGCTCATCTAATCAGAATGCAGCATATTGATGATAGGCCATTAGCTGGATTTGACTAAAGTTTAATAATATAACATATAGAGTGTACCATATATTTCAACTAATTATTTATTGAATGATTATACTCAATTGTCTCACAATTGAGAGTCATTTGTAGAAGCTAGCACTGTGATAGTTTCGACTGTAAACTGCTACGTGTAGTCATCATCAGGCAAATTTCATACCGTACATCATTATCTGTGCTCTAATTATTGGTTGGTAAGGTTTGTGTGGTGATTTAATTGTCGTTTGGTTCTTGTGTTGGATCTGTGAGTTAGTTGTRCCCTGACTTACATGTGGATCATTAAAGACAGAGGTTGTTTTAGGGGTCAATCTGTGAATTACTGTACTGTGCCCTGACTCTGAACAGCCCAGAGGTCCTTTCAGGATTTGATTTGTGAGTAAGATAGATAGATACATGTTACAAATTACTCAGAATACTGTTGTGAGAGTAGAAAAATTTCAATTGTTTGGGAAAAGATAACTTGCTAGAAACCGTGTAAACTGAGTAAACCGTGACCTGACTTTGATAAGCCCAAMAGTTAATTGTTTCAGGGTTTGATTTGTGAGTTAGCCATGCCTTGGCATTGTTCAGCCAAGATTGAGGTTGTTTCAGGGTTCGACCTGTGAATTTAGCCGTGCCATTTCTAGTAGAATATTTTGAAGTGTATGTGTGTACTGTACCTTTCTTGATGTTTTGTTGTGATTCATTTTGACTCATCTTCTCATTTGCTTCTATCATTTCAGGCTTATCTTCTTCATTTATTGGTTTATCAGCTTTAGATGTGTCTTTGGTTGGCTTTTTCTTTCTTTTTCTCTTTCTTTTTGCTTTCTTGGTTTTATTTTCCATTTTAGGATGCTTTTTTCCTTCAGATTCCTCTCCAGTAGTAGAATCAGTATTAGCTATTTCAGGCTTACTTTCGCCATCTTTTAGTTTATCAATTTTAGTTAAGTCTTTGGTTGGCTTTTCCTTTCTTTTTCTCTTTCTTTTTTCCTTCTTGGTTTCATTCTCCACTTTAGGCATCTTCTTCCCTTTAGTTTCCTCTCTAGCAATAAAATCAGTATCAACAACACGCGAGCCTTCTGTACCAACACTCTCGAACGTGTAGTCTTGAAGCTCTTCAAGCTGGACAAATCCCTCCATATTACCACTAAAAAATGCTGGGTTATCTAAAGGAACCTCTTTCCACTTTCTTTTCCTGCTTTTCTTTGGATTTTCTGCCATAGTTGTACGCTAAAACTATATAAAAGTACCACGAACTGAATTTAACTGAACTTGTCCGCCATATTGGCCGTGAGGAAAATAGTAGACTGGTATTGAAAAGTACAAAGAGGCATGCGCAAAAAGGCACAACGCTGACTACTGAGAAAAGAGGGTACTACTTCATGTATCGCAAAATATTATGTCCTGACATTGGTAGTGATCTAAATATTGTATCATATGAAGTATTAACCTTAAAGTGGACAAAAGTAAAAGACTATTAAAAAGAAAGTCCTTTTGGAAATTTTCAACAAACTGACTTTAAAATGCCTTCACGGTCTTTTAAGGAAGAGAGTGAATATCTAGAGCGCATTTCTGATTRTGCATATCTTATCAAGAAAGGGTTCGTTCCAAACATGAAGGTAAGATAGTGGATGGAGCTACAGGTATATGGTTGCATGAATGATGCAAACTCGTTGTTGTTAGGTGAAATATATACCAACTCTCTGGCCAAGGTTAAGATCATGTTTTTAAATTATTCTGTATTTTTTTGATGATTTACATCTTTAAAGGATCTTGATATAGTTCTCTCATTTTTAAATATATGATTTTATTTCAAATTTTTTATATATCAGTTTTATGCCCACATGTACATTTAATTGGTTATACTTATAGAATACCCCGCATATATCATATATGCACTGCATACTTAATGACCATGACTTCTGTTGTTGTATGCGTCGTTCTACAAAGAGTTCCGACAACTGCATATCATTTGCGGGGTATTCTATAATAATTATAGATTATGGCCACAATTATGGCCTCCATGCTTTTGTCTTTTAACTCTCTTGGGAATGCTTGCTACCYATCAATGGCAGACTTAATAATATCTACTGAAAACTTTGCATTTTCTAATGTCGCTAATGATATAGTACAGTACTTCAAACTAAAAAACATTGTAATCCAGGARAATAAATTTCTGAGACTGATTTAAATTGATTCAATGTGCCATACATGTTATTTGTTTGACTCCAACAATGCAGTCCAGTTGATGATGCTCATATTAAACGTGGCATTATTGTGAATTAATGTGACACTTATTTGAGGGCGGTGCTGTTCAATATTTTTTCTGTCATATATGTGGCACTTAATTGGGGAGGGGGGAGGTTGAGGCTTACATAATTGAGGGCGGTTTACTTTACAGGTAAAACACAGTAAATTGCTTTGGCCTTTGAGCTAGCTGACTTGGACATGTATAAGTTATTATTAATTATTAAATGTTCTTATTAGGTGCCTGGTAAATTCTACATAAATGATGCACTAGAAAAGATGATGTTTGATGAGCTACGGCATTGGTGTGGCACTGATGGTAATAGAGCAGTTTTCGCATGACTGTGAAAAGCTCAGTGCCGTAAGCGTGCCGTGCTGTGACCATGATGGTTTCTAGAATTTTAATCAGCTGTTTTTTCACGCGCAATGTGATTGGTCTGATAGTGCCGTGACCTTGGCGTGATCATGTCCATGCCATGATCGTGTCCGCGCTGTGATCGTGCCCGCGCCGTGATTGTGTCTGCGCCGTGATCGTGTCCGCGCTGTGATCGTGTCCGCACTGTGTTCATGCCGTGTTCCGGGTATTGGATTGGATGAAGAGTAAATTCTCGTGCAATGTGATTGGTCTGGCGTATCCCTTGTCGGGTAACGACCGTATTTGTGCCATGATCTTTTCACAGTCATACAAAAACTGCTCTAATCATATAGCATATTAAGGTGCTTAATGTTATATATCTCATGGTAACTTTCAAGTTTAAATAACAATTTTGATAAAGACAATTGATAATTGATAAAAACACAAGCATAATATTATTTAGTTTATAAAAAAATAAGTTATGACTACTTTGTTGGGATTGTATGTAGATTWAAACCCAAGTAATTTAAGAAAAAGTCACTCATTTTACTGCAAATCCATTTCAGTATTAATGGACTACTTCGACAATGTTGTGCCMGCCATCTTGGATTGCAAGGCATTATGGGGCATCCAGGGGACAAATAGACCTTTGTTGCAGTAATGACGTCGATGGCTGCCTTTCAYGTACATCATCAAAGTAGTCCATTTAGATACGCTTTTAAGCCTTTACTTTAAATTTGTTGGCTGCATAATTTTTGCCTAAATAGTTTTGAATTACATTTGAGTTTATTATTAACGAATGTTTATTTCTTTTCCTCAGTTGGAGGATTCCTTCCTGGTGTTAAACAGATTGCTAATGTTGCTGCTTTACCAGGAATAGTTGGGGTAATGATTTATAAATTTTGACTTTGTTGTCATTATTAATTATTCTTTTTGAAGCTACTGATATACAATAGTTACTATTCTTTGTTTAGTTATATGAATTTTCTCACTTTTAACAGCATTCTATTGGTCTACCAGATGTGCATTCAGGATATGGCTTTGCTATAGGTAAGTATAGTGCATATTCTTAATTCATTTGTCCATCCATCCATC